AGAAGAGGAGGTGAGTAAATTATAAGAGGTCGACGGTGGTGAAAATATTGGAACCCAATGGGTACTTCACAGATGTCTTTTGTACCTTCCCCAACCTCCTACCAACAACACGTAGCTGAAGGCTGACAGGGCACATGTCCATCGACTAGTAACAGTGGTTGCAGCACCAGTAGTCACAGAATAGGAGTCACATTACAAGTGGGTACTCAATAAATACTTTTTGATACATTACCTAGTAGACGCAAATTTGCTCACTTGAAATCTTGAGCGCAGGGACCTTATATCTTTCAGCATTAAATTACTCCTGGGAGGGAAGATTTAAGGAATGGCTTTCTGATGGCAGCTAGATCTCATCAGCCAGTGAAGACAAATACGCAGAGGCAGTCCAGAGCTCTTCTCTTTACCACCCAATCCTTCTCCTCCAAACACAGCCCTCACCAGGCTCATGAAATCAACGGCTGCAAGTAAGCTGGCATGCATTCCCCAAATTCCTGTACGCCAGAAGGAGGGCCTGTTCACATCCCTATGTAGAATTAGGTAAACAGTCACTAAAGGAGGGGTGCACAGACCTCAGTGGGCTGTTTATTTAACCCTTGCCTTGCCAGCCAGTAGCAGTAACTGCTGCACATGGGACCTTGTGAGCTTATTATAAAAGATGGCTGCATGGGAAGGGAGACTAGAATGATATGAATGACTGGCTACCAATGAGGAGGGAGAGGGAGGGAAATGATATTTTAGAGCTTTTCACTAATATTCTGGGAAAAGACTGTAATACTTTGTTTCGTGTCCACAAATTCCTCCTATGCCAGTACACGCACCTCTCTACAATCTGACTTCAATGGATCTTCCCCAACTACAGGTGGAGTCTATTTCTCCACCCTGGATGTTGAACAAGTTTTGGAGCCTAAGCCTCAAGATGCCTTGCAGCACGGGCCTCTGCCCTCTGGAAGGCTGCTCTAAGACACTGACAGGGGAGGACAACCTGCAAGAAAGGCCACTTGAGGATGAGAGGTCCAGCCCCCACCGACTGGTCAGCTGAACGTGACAGAGGGGAGAAGCAAGGGCTGACTGACCACCAAGAAAACCACAGGTCAACTCACAGAATCCTACGGATACTAAATTCTTGTTATTTTGGGGTTAGGGTGGTTTGCTATGCAGCAACAGATAATGGAAACAAGCCAACCAATGTGGCTTACCTTTCCTTTTTTTTTTTTTTTAACATTTTCAGAACATCTAAGGTCAGAATTGAAAGTGACTTAAAGAGATCATTTTATGTCTTTCTGTTTCAATGGTTTATGAGGTTACCCAAAAAGTCACCAAACATTATTTCTCATTCTCAATTTTGAAGTTCATTTGACTTTAATTGGAAAAACCTTTACCCATTTTATATGAAAAGAAATACCACAAAGCTAAATTTAAATATTATTCCAATGCAACTTAACAGTGAATTATAAATTTAATGATGGAGGGTTAAGCAAACTTCAGAATGCTTTCCTGGGGAACCAACAGCACTTGCAAAAACAGGCATAGGAATTTTTCTCTCTGAAAGTTCTCAGTAAAGCCAAGAGAATAACTCTGTGATCCAATTATCCCCAAAGCCTCAATTAAAGTCAGATGCTAAGGGAGAGTTCAAGTTCCTTAATTTTATTTACTAATCCACAAAGAGAAGAATCAGAAAAATATTCCTCAGTTCTTCTTTGCATACTTCATAATAGGGCTCATTTATTTTTATTTATGTGTTTACATTTATTTATAACACCTACACCACATTAAACAAATATATCTCTACCTAAACACAGCAATAAGCCTATTTCCACAGCCAATGTTGAATATATGGCTGGTTTTCCCTATTTACCTACTCATCAAAATTCTGCAAGCATTTCACGAGACAGTATTAGTTTGAAATACCCCAACATTTCCATTATAAAGTCCTTCCAAGGTGTCTCCAGTGAAGCTGGGAAGAAATACATTTGTATGTAAGTTCAAATATAACAGCAAAACCTGACTGTAATGCCTACATTTGCAGCAGGAGTTATATTCAGAGTTGCCATAGCAGCCACCCACACGCACAGGCACACACAAAGGGGTGGTAGAGAAAAGAGAAAAGCAGTTAGCAGAGAACAGAATCTATTGTTTAAAAGACAGAGGTACCCTTCAATGTAATTACAAGCAGGAATCCTGTCTTTGAGTCTGAACCACTGTTTAACGATAGAAGATTTCCAAATGCTGAAGTGTTACTAAACGTTTTTTTTTCTCTAAATGTATCTACCTACCATCTGAACCCTTGGCTTTAACCTTGACAGGTGCTGAGGTCATGTGGGAATAGGAGGAAATTCAGCTGACCATGCACACATTAGGGCTAATATGATTCAATGATTCCCTCTCTGGAATATTCGGAATCATTGTAGCCAGGAAAATTTGTGGTTCTATGGGTCTGGGCGAGTTACTTCACTTTCTGATTGTCCTCATCCATGAAATGGGCATGATAATACTACTTACTTAAGGAGTTCTTATGAGGATTCAATAAATTAGTACAAATAATCAATTATTACATAAATAATGATAAATAAAAATAAATTTTAATAATACATAACTATTAGTAATATATTAAATAAATTAGTAAAAGTGAAGCACTTAGTTCCTGACACAGAGTAAATGATCAATAAACATTTGCTATAATAGTAATTATTATTACAAACATTTCCAAGTCTTTATTATAGACCAGAACGGTCTGGTTTATAATTCAGAAGTCCCTTAAATAAATGTGTGAAAGTAAGTTGCTAAAACAAATCAAGTAAGAAGTTGCTAAAAGAAATGTCAGCAGCCCAGGGGCAAGACAAGAAAATTAAGATTTTTCCAGTACATAAAAGGATAATGCCTTCTCCCACAGCAATGCCTTTGAAACACCATTTTGGCGGAATAAAAAGACCAAGTATTTTAATATACTAGCACATTCACCACCATTGGCAAACCCTGGTTACACAGTAAAATCTAACATCTGTTAGTGCTAAGATAACCATGTAAAACAGTATTTGGGGTCAGAGAGTACTCTGGAATTTGTCCCAAGTCATTGGCTTGATCATATATGTATGTGAAGATTTATTTGCAATTCATACCCAGATATAAATATAAACATCAGATTCAGATATGATGACAGTGAATGAAAAATATTTTATGATTTCTGATTCACTCAAGTTTTAAATCTTCATTTTAAGGCTGAATACTACATCTTCTGGGAGAGGTGGAACATGTAGTCAAGTAATTTAGTGAGTAGAAAAGAATATGCAGGGATTAGCAGACTTCACCTCAAGTCTAGAAGTAACTTAGAATGTGAAGCAGAAAGCAAAGCTGGTGGGCTAGAGAAATCAGGGGGAATTAGAGGAACAGAGTTGTAGCACAGTAAGAGGGCAAGAAGGGAGCTGTAACTGACAAACTGCAAAATCAGAAGACAGCGGAAGAGAAAATGGATATGACGGGATTTGATTCTTAACTCTACAAATTTTCTTTTCTTTTTTTTTTTTGAGGAAGATTAGCCCTGAGCTAACTGCTGCCAGTCCTCCTCTTTTTTTCACTCAGGAAGACTGGCCCTGAGCTAACATCCGTGCCCATCTTCCTCTACTTTATACATGGGACGCCTACCACAGCATGGCTTGCCAAGTGGTGCCATGTCCGTACCCGGGATCCAAACCAGCGAACCCCGTGCCCCGGAGAAGTGGAATGTGCAAACCTAACCGCAGCGCCACTGGGCTGGTCCCCAAATTTTCTTGATGGGATTTTTTTTCAAGTCCAGGCTGTGAGGGACAGAATTAGCTTGGCTCAAAAACTTTAAAAATGTTAAAATGCATAGACTTGGGACCTCCAAAATTATCCTGCTGTTGTGAATGTTATGTACAATGCTATATTGCCCTTCCTAAATTGTTCTTTATTTAGTATCCTTTATTTCCAATCTCAAGTAGAGGTGTCATAGGGTATTACTGGCTATTCTCTCGGCTCTTAGACTTAATCTGACATGAGTGCATTAGGAACATTAGAAACATTTCCACAGTTGAATAGCTCTTTGAGGGTAAAAATAACTCCAAGTTTTTTTAAGTCGTTAGAAACGATTCAATTTGGTTTCATATCGGTCCTGAGATCTTTTGTCAATGAGCTGAAATCAGAAAGAAGTCGCTATTGGTACCAGTGGAAAGGAGAATCCAAAAAGATATTTAAATTCTCAGCTTCTTCTTGGAGCTATGGAAAAGCCTACAGAGCACACTTTTGGAGTCCAACGCCACAGCAGCACAGTAGATCCTGGTGAGACACGGAGAGGCCCACGACGCGAACGCGGGGATGGAGAGCTGCCTGCCGAGGCTGCCCTTCTTTCTACTCCTGCACATCAGTAATGCACTCAGCTGTGACCACTTACTTCCATCTAAGGGTCCCATCCCGAGGCCTTGGCTTACACTTGAGGCCTGACTCTTAGCCCTAAAATAATGGCAAATACTCAAGAATAAAGGAAAAAAACATAATTTATAAGGACATTTTGGTCATTTCTACGAGAAAATATAAAACGCTGGTTGAGATATTATGATGATATAGTTACCAAAAACAAAAGAACTTTCTAGAAAAAGAGTGCCCCTTTGCTCCCACCAGAGCATATTAGAGCTTGAGCAGGCAGCTGAGAGGCTTGGGTAGTTCTCTTAATTGCGCTATTACAAGTTTATGGGCCTGTTACAGGACAAATTTGTTTCCATTAAGCCCTATTTAATATAAAGACAAACATATTCTCAAATAGAAATGCTAATGGTGTATTTTTTAATGCAACCAACTACCCACACATAGTCTCATGAGAGTCGACTGACTTAATTTTATTCACAGTACAAACAGCTATTATTAAAAGCAAATTAAATGGCCTACAGAAAGCTGTTAATGCGAGTTCCATTATGGCAGGGAGAAATAATTTCTGCATTGGAAGAATTCACAGGAAGACAGACGAAGACTGGTTTATAAGCCTTACTTACTGTCAGATACATAGCTGCATAGACACTGAGGGCCGCCTCTTTGGATGGAAATGTTTTCCTTGCCCTCATGATGAGATCTGGGTTGCCCGTGCAGGCCTCTTCCCCACTGATGAACTGTGTGTACTGCTGACATCCAAGCGCCGTATAGTTGGGCTTACACAGGGCAAGAAAATGTGGAGCCAGGTTCCCCGTGACTACTTGTCCAGCATTGACAAAGATATCTGTAGCAAATAGTCCAAACGTATAAATCCCTGGGGAAGAGAACAAATCATTTTAACTCTTCAGGTTTTTGTGTTTTAGTTTACAATAAACCAACATGGAAATATTTTAGAAATTATAAAATAGTTCCTACATACATACATATGGTTCCTTCCACTTCACTCCTCTCCAGTTCCTCCCTTCGCTTTCTGGAGTGGTGGGAGTGTTAAATTATTTAACATATTGAGCTGTCTACCACTGGCTACATTTTTATGCATGGCAGGTTTATAAGACATAAGATAGAAGAAAATATATTCTAAGGCTGTGGTTGAGTAATGAGATTTTTTAAATGGAGACACATTCATTTCCCTTGAGAGAGTTCAGTCTATCACTTTCTACTAATGCTAGCCATCTTTATTTTTTCTCCTTATTTGAAAATATTTTTTCTCTGACTACATAAAACAAAGCCATTTTCTCCCTTTGATTATGCTTCTTAAGCTCATTCAGAATGATATTAACTCTGTGGGAGGTGCCAATTAGCAGTAAAATCCAACGCCATCAGTTTTCATTTAAATATCATGGAGAATCTTAAGTAAAGCAGAATGTTTTCAGATTCATCTCTACATTGCCTTCAGAAACACATTTTTAAAAGTCACATAACAGCTAGTAACTTAGTTTCACCTTATCTTTTATGGATCGAGTTTTAGTTTATCAAATTTGGGGCAAGTTCATAAACAATAAAACCATCAAAATTATTATTTTTCAATTATCTTCACAGTATTAAAATTTATTTGCTTGGGTTACCTGAAGGTATAAAATTAAGTACATAGATTTTCCCCCCCTTCGTAAGAAACATACCAATTAACTCAAATACACATTTTCTAATTTCAATGTTATTGATCATTATTGCCAAAAATTATCTTTGTACTTAAGTAGGGTAGGCAAAATAAATTCTTTGGCATCATTTTCAATTAAACTTACAAATACAACTTTCAAGGATGTGGCACTGAAAAGAACCCCATTCTTTCATAATTTGGGGAAATTAAATCCATCAGGACATTTTAAAACTACACCAAAAAAATACTTCCCCAGTACTTGGTTCATTAAAAAGTCATATAATTCTATTATAATAATTAGCTGCTTTTTTTCTCAGTGTATTTCTGGATCGTTTGTTTCCTAAGAGTTACATAATTATTGGCTATTGTGCAGGAAAGCACCAGGAAAGCTGTGCAGTATCAAATAATTTTCCAGCATTAGATGCATGGCCGTCCTTTTCATTTTCAAAATATTACATAAGATTATAAAAGGTTTATGCACACAAGTCTGCACACAGCAAAACTCTGTGTATAGACAAATGAAGCAAAGACCTTAGCTCTCTCTTTATCCAAAATTTTAAAAGGAAACAACACAAAGCTCTTTTTTACATCTTACCCCTTTTCCATGAGTCAAGTAAATGTTATCAAAAGTAGAAATTTGGAGAGGTAGAGAAATAAAAGCGAGTGGAACTCAATAAAATGTTACGGTACTCAACTTCTCCTTCCAAATCTCATGGCCTAGCCTGGGAACCTAAATGACAAGCCTTCATCTCCACCCTCTTGAAATCTAGGCTAAGATGGACTCATTTTATTTAACCAAACCATTCCTTTTATCTGGTGTAATAATTTTTCCTGTTTAAAATAGAGAGAACTATTTGATAAGGATATGGAAATATCTCTTGATACTTGTAAAGTTCCCAAATGTGCTTAGGAATTAAAATGTCAGTGCATCAGGCCCAAGGTCAATGCTGTAGTTAACTACAAAGATACTTATTAAAGTGAGATCCCATGAGTGCATCCCTCTGCTGACTTGAAGAATAAAATTACCATACATAATGATGTCCTATTATGCAGTAATGCTTTGCTTAGAGGCTTCCCATTTTATTATAACAAATCAGAAACATCCAAATCATGATAAACAAGGGAACAAGAAACAAATCAAGCACGCCTAAATATTTTATAAAATGATATAAGAAGAATCATTTGAAGACTTAAAAGCACACTTTGTGCCATATATTCTTTAGAAATATGCAAATGCATAAAAATATTTTACTTAAGTATAATATAATTTGCTTAACAGTGTTGAGATAGTGTCAATTTCAACAAATATTTGCAGTTCTGAGTATATTATTGATTGTTTTGTTATTAAATGACATATAAAGAGAAATGAGTCAAGAACACAATATTGATGGATGTGAAAAAATAATTTTTTAATGTTTTATATAAAAGCTATTCCTGCTACAGTATAAATGAGGGCTTTGGACATGTATAACTTGATGGCAATAGAAAGAACAGTCTTAGATACGAAGACCTTTCATCCTCAGAGAGATTTAAAGGCATGATGACATTTGGTTAGTCTTTAAATGGGTTTATATATAGATTAGGTGATCTAGACATAATATGTCCAAAGTCTTCATCTTGATCCCATGGATATGAGAAATATATAGAAGAGTTGTGGTATCCTTAATCTTAATACGGATCAGAACTTATCTTAAATGTTATTCAGTATAAACAGACATACTTTTTTTTAATCTGATAAATCCAGGAAATAATCATTTATATTAAATTTTATTGTGTCAGTTAAAAAATTTGTCTTGACCAAGTTTCCACTGAATCGGGATGATTTTCAGTAATTCATCAATATTCATATGTATTAATGCTAGAATTTGAGATTGAAAGTTAAATTATCAGTAAAGCTTGTCCTCTAGTAAAATCACCAGTACATTCTTGCTGACATTAAAAAACAGCTCAGAAATAGCGTGTGGAGCGCTACAAGTGGTAATTAACAAATGCAACATTTCTTTTATATGCCGAGCTATTTTTCTTGCCCTTCATGATTTTCAACAACCTACCTACTATCATTTCTCCCTAAGCACTGTTTCTGAAATTTCATAAACACAGTAAATAATTCTTTTAATTATGTAATTTTTAGTTTCTTAAAGAATTTTAAATATCCAAAGGTGGTGTTCTTTGTTAAAATAATATGGAAATGACACCTGGAGTCTTGCAATATAAAAGAGAAAGTAGTATGCAATGTTTATTTTTAAAACCAAATTAAAACATTTCAAAGAAGATATAATCTAATATTTGCATACAGTTAAAATGCTGGCCATTTTAAAGGTGAGCCTATACATAAACATTGTTTCAGCAACAATAAAAACAATTCCATGAACACGTACCAAGAAATCGCACAGTTCGCCGCACCAGTGGGTTTATATAGCAACAGTCTCCAGTTAAAATAGTTTTCTCCTGGTTTTCAAAATCTCTTGTGGCTAGTTGTAGGCAAAACACAGCAGTTTCTCCAACTATTATCTTGCAAGGAAATAAAAGGTTAAAGAACATTAGATTTTAACCAGTATAAATGTAGAATATTTCTGTTTTTAAAAAACATAAGAAGGAGCTCCTTTGAATGGTAACAATTTCAGTATAAAACTGAACCATAATTGTTTAACCAAATCCTTTTCTTATTAATTTATCCCTACGCATATAACCCATATTTCTCTCAATTCAAGAGAATATTAAACTGATAAATGACAAATAAAAATAGACCATAACATTTTTGTTCTCTAAAAAATTTCATTAAAAAAATAAAATATAGAAAGGACTTTTGCTTTAAGGAAGCACTCATTCATTTTTGGTGTGTAATTGAATTCTATATTTTATTTTCAAGTGATTGCGTCTTGCTTAAATTTGACTCTCATGAAAAGCAGAATAACTCTCTACGCAAATATTTTTGAAAAGATCTGATATAGACATACTAATTTAAAATTATGCTAATACTTTGATAACAAGAAAAAAATAATCAATTCACATGTTTGGCCTTCAGGTTATCCTTTGCCAAAATGTCATTATTCTATTCTGAAGCATTATTAAGAATTATAATCATTAATATATTCTTAATACTTTATACATACATCATTTTCATCTTCATAAAAACCCATATGACACAGAGAATATTATCATATCTCTTTTATAAGTGAAAAAAACCAAGACTTGAATTCAAATGAATTACCCAAGGCCACAGAGCTAGTGAGGAGAAAAATTAGGTTCTGGTACAGATTCTTTACTCAGCTATGCTGATTTACTAAAGGACCCAGCTATCTTCATTGGTATTTGTACCATCTGCGGTGTTTTCATACATGGTCCTTAAAATCACCCAGCAAGGAATTAGAGCAAGTGCTATTATTCCATTTTACAGATGAGGAAATGGAGGCTTGGGGAAGCTAAATAATTTGCTCCTGGTCAGGCTGGGCAGAAGCCACAAAGAAGTTTCTGATTCAGCCCCAGACCTTTTGACTCTATTTAACGCCATGAACAACAGTACTAGAAACAAGATTAAGAGAAAAGAAAGTGGAGCCAAGAGTATTTTCCTAATCTGTCATTATTAATGTTTGTTTTTAGCACATCTTGTCAAGGTTAAATAACGTACTCTATAGGGAGTCCCTGACATCCCCGGGGGAAATGCTTTTGGAATCTTTATGAAAAGCAATATCTATGATTATAAGATATTCAAAGTTATAAGCAGGATTAGAAAGGAGGTCACAGGAGGTTAGGCGTTTGACCTAATTTCACCTCAAGATGAGCAACAGATTATGAGGCATCTCTTAATTTTTATCCTTCTTTCTATTTCTTTTTCCTCTTTTCTCACTATATCTCTTCTTTCAAGTAGGGCAGAGTTCAAGGTTAAACCAGAAGATGTTGAGCTGAATTATGATAAAGGAGTCTACTCTTGCCTATCTGGTAAGACTGGGTTGAATTAGGAAAGACTAGAGTTTATAGTCTTCCAAATCCTCCTGAAATTTTAACTTTGGTAAAGTAGACCAAGTATGTGATGACACAGTTCATTCAGCCTAAAGAGACACAAGAGGTGTTTTTTATAGGTTTGTCAGCTGCCACCAGGCCCTAGGAGAAACTGACAAACAGACAAGCTGTGTGTTGACACCTTCTTGTCTCCCTCTCTGAGTCACTCTTTCATGCCCTACCACTTCTCTGTCACTCCTTAAAAGAAATTACTTCCCGAGTTTTCAGTTTCAACTTTCAGTTTTCAGTCTCAGGGATGTTTTGTCCCAGAATTTTCCAAATTCTAACAATCTGTCATCTACTCCACATCATGAGCTGACTGGCTCCCTGCCTGATTCTGCCCTCTCAGATTTCTCTTCTCCACAGGAGGTACCATGGAGTCTCCACTCTCAGGTTGGCTCCACCCCAGGGTACACTGAACCCCCAACTCAGTCTGTTAATACACTAAATTCCCTAGAATGTAGTAACCACCCAAAAACTCTTACTGAATGCATGAATGAATTGCATCTCAATAGATCTCATCTTCAACAGATCAGAAGGTCTTAGTCTGCCTCTGACCTTTGCCTGACTCCTAACAACCAACTTCTTCTGCCTTGTTCATGTGATGAAGGCTCCACCCTCCACCCTACTCCCTACAACCAGATCCTGTATGCTTAGGCCCTGACTTGATAACTCATTTAGTTATCAGGTTCCTACCAGACTAAGAGCTGTCTTGTCTGGGCCACTCTTTCCAGGGCTACTCTTTGCAGTTTTCCTAATGCTAATCTCTTGCTTACCTACATCTCAGCATATTACACATTCCTGAATTTCCTGTTTGTGTCTTGTTATTTTTGTGTGTGTCAAAAAAACACTATCTCAGTCAATTTTGTTTGGATGTACTAAAAGAAACTCACTAAAACTAGAGTAAGCAAAATAGGAAATTAATTCTAGAGTTGATGAGTTATCGCAGAGTCTAAGGGGACGGGGCTCAGGATTAAGGCCAAGAATGGAAATTCCTCAAGAGTCCAGACAACTACTTTCTCAGTCTCATTCCCTGGAGTCACACTATCTCTCATCTCGGCTCTCCTCTGAATGCCTGACTTACTCTTGTCTTTCTGCAAGCCAGCTCTCCTGTTTCCTAGCATACCTGGTTATCCCAACAGTCTCCAAGACCCTTGGCTTGAACATGTTAGCTCAGTTCAAGGAAAGCTCAATTAATTAGGTTCATCGGACCCCAATTCAAAATTCCTGGGCAGGTCAGCTTGGGATATGTGTCTCCCTGATCCAATTCTCCGAGGTTAAGAGGGAGAGTCATGGTGTATGAAAACTGCTTCTGTGGGTAGAGAGAGTAATTCTCAAAAAAAGGGAGCTTCAGAGTGACCATCAGATATCATGTGCCTCTCGATGGAAACACAAACTACCACCTATAAAGTATTCTTGCCAAAAGACTCTAACGTGAATCTGATCGAGCCTGTAGAGACAGTTACCAATTTACAAAAACATAGAGGTCAGAAGCACATGTTAGCCTGCACCCTGGGACGCTACTAACAGAATCCAGACTGTGGTAAATTCTACAGTACAAACAAATAAAGTGCAAGAAAAGAAAAAAGGAAAAGAAAAGAGATGGAGGAGGGAAGGAGAGATTAAAAGAGACTTAAAAGATGCATCAACCATTGCAATGCTAAAAAAGAAGACAAAAACAACTGGAATTTGTATACTCAATGTCTATAACTAACGACATTAAGAAATTATGATTAATTTTTGAGGTATTATAATGTAAAAAAAAAAAACAGAGAGAGAGAGAGCTGCAGTGACGTGACGTCTACTTGAAACTCTTCTCCACTCTACCTTACTGGACCTCCCCCATGCTAGTTCTTGCCCTAAACTAGCCCTTTCCACCGTGTTCTCTGGATATGGTGTTCTGCGTGCCTACTTGGACTTCCTCTCATCCAATGTACGGGCCAAGGCCCTAGTGTCTGCTTTCCTCCAGTGAGCATATCTACTTCATGCTCTACTTCTCCCTCCCTCATGGCAATATCTATGGAACGCCTTACCCGAATCATATTCTCTCTTAACTTTCCTTACCCGAACTTCCTGAGTCAAAATCCCCATTGTTAACTTCCCTCAGATAAGTTCAAGTAATGAAAATAAAACAACTCTCATTATGATGAACATTTAGATGCCTTCTGAGTTAAGGATGCAACTCCAGGCACTGATGTTTAAAGAAGAGTTTATAACTAGCTGGGTGGACACAAAGAGAAATAATTAATAATGGTACAAGACTACACATGCTGAGTTTTATTTGACTGATTTGGACAATAAATGCTATTAGAACATTTAGGAAGAAGTGTCGCTGAGTCACTGAGGGCGTCTGTGTTGGCCATGAAGGTACCATGAGGATCTCCTACTGCAGGAAGGCTTTAGGACTGATGGCCCCAGCTGCTCCTGCTCCTCTGGATCCAGCACGGAGTCCCTGTTCATGCCATACTTGCTGCAGGCTCCTGCTAGCCAAGGATTAAGCATGGTGGGCATACTCACGTGAAACCACTCCTCTGAGATGTGGGGTACCTCTAACTGGTAATTTTGGTTTGAAGACTCCCCATGAGCCTGGCCAAATCGTTCTTGGAACTGTGCTGTATTCTGAGGTGCTTCCTACCCAAACCTCCTTCCTTCCCCTTCTCCTTCAGAGGGGTCAGACCTCCATCATATCTGAAGGCCCTCCCTGCCTTCTCTGGCTTACCACCCCCAACCTTTATCTTTTACAAGTGTTTCCCCTGATAAATCCCTTGTATATCTAATCACTTTTGGTACCTGGTTCTAGAAGAACTCAATTTAACACAGCATCAAAGAAAGACCGGCTATGATCCTGACTGCTTTTAAAGGTGGGATGGTTATGAGACAGATGTAGAGAATGTGGACACAGCCCTAGCAGGAAGACAGTGTTAGGAGAGGAAAGGAGGTAGGCTTTCTCCTGATAGCTCTCAACTTGACCTAAACATAGGCCAAAGTAGATTGAGTTTGCCTTGGAGGCGGAGGCTCTCATCAGTGAATTACAGACTTAAATTCTAAGTTCCCTGATTTTTATTTTGGTTCTTTTCTGCCTGTCCTGTCAGAAGCCCTTCCTGGAGCACTTCATTCCTCCTAAGGCTTTACCAACCCATGCTACTCTAAGGAATCCCAAATATTTCTCTTCTCCTGAACTCCAGATGCGGGTCTCCAACCACCCATTAAACAGCAGCATCTCAACATGCTCAGATCTGCAGACTGAAGTCCTCCAAGCCTTCCCACCCGAAATGCAATTCCCGTCCCCGAGCCTAAACCTCCTGCTTCTCCACGTCACCACCTCAGTTAACCCACTATCCTCACTTGGACACACAGGCTACCTCACACCCTTACACACCACGCTGACACCCCTGTTTCCCTCATTTGCCTCTCTCCATCAATTGCTAAATCAAGTTGCTTTTATACCTTAATTATATGTCAGATATGTTCCTTTTTATCACTATTGCCATTTTAAAATTCAGTCTCTCATC